AAAATGAGGTACAGTCAACTTACAGCAAATACAGGACATATTTCTTCATATACTTCCCTTAAGATTAAGGGAACAAAAGTCATTTAGGGGAAAATGAAACAGAATAACTTAAGGAAACTGAGGCCTGGTGAAAGCAACTCAGAAATATAGTATTTAGAAACATGAAGTGCCATCCTTGCTTCAAAGAGAGACAAGAGGATGAATTCCTTCCTGAAAGGTGCATTCCTTACCCCAAGAATTAACACTTATCTGACAGAATGTACACCTTCCTGAGAAAAATCCTGCCCCAAAATGCAGATAGCAAGGAGCCTCCTTATCTCAAGGATAAGGATCTTTTTTATGACAGGATGCATTCTTACCTGGAAACTCAGAAATCCAGGTGTGATTACAGCACAGACAAAGCACTTATCTTTACTTAAGTTTGAAGCCAGACCCCCTGCCTTTACTGTATAAATGCCCCAACAGCCCAAGGAGCTGCATGTCTCTCCCTATGAGAGCACCCACACTCTATTATAGTGTACCCCTGCCCTTCTGTGTGTTTGTCTGCTTTTAGTTTGTCTGTCTGCTTGCCTGCTTGTTTACTTAATAAAGCTGTACCAAGCTTTCTTACAGTAGTGACTTGTCTAGAAATTCTTATTCTGTGATCAAAGTCAAGGAACCTAAGTGAAGAGTTCCTATATTTAAAGGAAAACCTCCATATGGTGACAAAACTATCTTCTACTCAATGAGCCTCTAACTCAGTAGTGGGAAAGACTGCAATAAATGTCTTATATCCAGAGTACAGCTCAAAAAAAGAATTCTTGCTTGTTGCCAGTGGCTCATACCTATATTCCTAAGGTGCGGTCTGAGGATTGCAATTCAAAGCAGCCCAGGCAATTAAGTCCTTAAGACTCTTGCTTCCAACAGAAAAAAGCTAGAAGTGGACCTGTGGTTCAATTGGCACATGGCTAGCCTTGAGCAAAAAAGCTCAGGGATTGTGCCCTATCCCCGAGTTCAAGCCCTAAGACCATCACACAGAAAAAAATCTTGCAGGTACCAGGTTTAAATTCAGAGTTTGTAAAATTGTTTCTTTGCTTGATCCACTGGCACTCCACCACTTGAGCCACGCTTCTAGCCCAGCTTGTTGCTGGTTATTTTGGAGATGGAGTCTCATCTGGCTTTGAATTATTATGTCCAAAATCTCAGTCTCTCAGTAACTGAAATTGCAGGATTTCCTCATCCTCTTTTTTTGTTGTTGTTGGTGTATATGTGTTACTGTGTGTGTGTGTGTGTGTGTGTGTGTGTGTGTGTGTGTGTTACTAGGGTTTGAACTCAAAGCTTTGCACTTGCTAGGCAAGAGCTCTAACACTTGAGCCACACATCCCCCACTTCTTTAAATCAAGGATCTTGAACTCTGGGCCTGGGCTCTGTCCCTGAGCTTTTCAGCTCAAGGCAAGCTCTGTACCACTTGAGTCACAGTACCACTTCCAGCTTTTTCTGCTTATGTGGTGCTGAGGAATCGAACCCAGGGCCTCATACATGCAAAACAAGTACTCTATCACTGAGCCACCTTCCCAGATTCCAATTAGGATTATAGGCATGAGCCACCATCGCCTGTTTTTGTTTTTTTTCTGAGGTTCTCCTCCAACCAACAGCAATCCTCCTGATTTCTATCTCTGGTTAGAGGTGTGCACTACCATGCCTGCAGGACTTAAGCTTTTTTTTTTTTTTTGTGGTCATGGGGCTTGAACTCTGGGCTTGGGCGCTGTCCTTGTGCTCTTCAGCTCAAGGCAAGCACTCTATCGCTTGAGCCACAGCACCACTTCCGGTTTTCTAGCAGTTTATTGGAGCTAAGAGTCTCACAAACTTTCCTGCCCATGCTGGCTTTGCACCGAGATCCTCAGATCTCAGCCTCCTAAGTAGCTAGGATTACAGGCGTGAGCCACGGGTGCCCGGCTAGGACTTAAGCTTTTGATCTGAATGAAGATCAGGGCTCTAGCAGACAGTAGGCAGAGGGAGACTTGGTGCTCATGTGTGTCCTCTAGTGGCTGCTTTGGGAAGGACAAGTGATTAGTATTACACTGGTCCAGGTGAGCAATGCTGAGACTACACCAAGTGATGGCCCTTTGATTTTTTTTGTTGTTGTTGTTCTTTTGTTTTGTTTTGTTATGTTCGTCATGGAGCCTGGTCTCTGGGCCTGGGCACTGTCCCTGAGCTCTTCAGCTCAAGGCTAGCACTCTACCACTTGAGCCACAACATCACTTCCGGTTTTTCTGCTTATGGGGTGCTGAGGAATCAAATCCAGGGCCTCATGCATGCAAGGCAAGCACTCTACCACCTTCCCAGCCCCCCTTTGATGTGTTTTGAAGGGTTGAAATGCGGTTAGAATTCATGGCACTGAGATTTGAACCCAAGGCCTTGAACTGGCCAGAAAGTCCCTCTACCACCTGAACTATGCCCTCAGCCCCAAGTGGGGGCCCTGAAAATGGAGAACAGACTAGGGTTGTTGGCCACTGGCAGAACACCTACCTAGCAATGTCAGACCATCAGTTCCATCTCCAGTGCCACAAATACACAGGGAAAAATGAAGGATTTAGAAGATAGACCTATCTACATAGGTATAGATACTTTATTTTTGTGCTGGTCCTAGCTGTTGAACTCAGGGCTTGAACAATATCCCTGGGCTTTTTTTTTTTTTTTAATTCAGTAACACAAAATTTACTTCTGCAGGGTTGAGCGCCGGTGGCTCACACCTGTAATCCTAGCTACTCAGGAGGCTAAGATCTGAGGATCGCGGTTCAAAGCCAGCCCAGGCAGGAAAGTCCATGAGGCTCTTATCTGCAGTAAACCACTCAGAAAACTGGAAGTGGTACAGTGGCTCAAGTGATGAGTGCTAGCCTTGAGCTGAAGAGCTGAGGGGCAGCATTCAGGGCCAGAGTTCAAGCCCCATGACCAAAAAAAAAATTTACTTCTGCAAAAAGATGCACACCATAAGCCAAACATCTAGCAAGTAAGCCTTGAGCTCAAGGTTAGCACCCTACCACTTGAGCCACAGCTCCACTTCCAGCTTTTGGTTAACTGGAGATTAAGAGTCGCAAGGGCAGCCGGGCGCTGGTGGCTCACGCCTGTAATCCTAGCTACTCAGGAGGCTGAGATCTGAGGATCGCAGCTCAAAGCCAGCCCGGGCAGGAAAGACCATGAGACTCCTATCTCCAATAAACCACCAGAAAACCGGAAGTGGTGCTGTAGCTCAAGTGGTAGAGCGCTCGCCTTGAGCTGAAGAGCTGAGGGACAGCGCCCAGGCCCAGAGTTCAAGCCCCATGACCGACAAAAAAAAAAAAGAGTCTCAAGGGCTTTCCTGCCTGAGCTGAATTGAACTTCAGTCCTCAGATCTAAGCCTCCTGAGTAGCTAGGATTACAGGCATGAACCATGGGCACCCAATTTGTTTCACTGCTGTTTTTTGGTCAGTTGTAGGGCCTGAACTCTGAGCCTGGGTGCTGTCACTCAGTTCTTCAACTCAAGGCTAGTGCTCCAACACTTGAGCCACTTCTGGTTTTCTGGTGTTAATTGGAGATAAGAGTCTCATGGACTTTCCTGCCCGGGCTGGCTTTGAACTGTGATCCTCAGATCTCAGTCTCCTGAGTAGCTAGGATTACAGCCATGAGCCACCAGCATTGAGCTTAATTTGTATGTTTTATACACGCACATTTATATTTGCATGTCTATGTTGAAACCAAAGGCTTGTGCATGCTAGACAAAAGCTCACCACTGAGCCACACCCCAGCCTCCATGGCATTTTTCAGGATAGAGAACACACGAGGACACTTCCTGATAGGGGAAGCAAGCCCAGGGAAATTGTCCTAAGTAGACTTGAGTTAGGAGATGGCGGAGACAGGTGAGGACATGGGGTCTTGAACTGAGAGAGCGGCTGGAGTGGGTCTGGACATGGCAGGCAGGGGTGGAACTTGAATCGGTCTTGGAGGAGTGGGTGGGAATAGAACTTAAGGCAGATGAGGCCTGGGGACTGCAGGTGGAGAGCACCCAGGTGAGTCAGGAGCCTCAGGAGCCACACAAGGGTGGTATTTCCAGCTCCCCCCACCCTCCACAAACACAGAGAGGCTAAGGGTGTAGACTGTACATTCCCAGAATTGCAGAAAGCTGGAGGGGCCAAAGGGCAGCAAACTCTGCTGGCGGGAAGCAGCGTGTAGAGGCAAATAATGCTGGAGCTGTAAGAACAAGCTAACGAGGTGGTCCCCAAAGTCCTCAAGTGTGGGCACTGGGGACCGTCCTGGGGAGCTGTGTCTGCCGTGGGCTGTGCAGTAACAGGAGCTGCCATCACTGGGCAGGCCAAACTCCACCGGAGAGACTGAGACTGAGCGGGAGGAAGGTGAACGGAGGCGACTCCGCCCCGCCCCCTCCGGGACTTGGGGACCCTGGAGACCTAAAACCGATTTCCCAGGAAGGGGCTCGGAGCTCACCCCCCCCCCTTCCGATGCTTAGCATGCCCTCACCCTCCCTTCCCAATTGGAAGGTAGCCTACAGGAAGTGTTCAGTAGGTGAGCCTTGAGGTTGGCAAGCAGGGCGAGGTGGGGGGCTGGAGGGGACAGTGTTGCATCCGTGCAGAGTGCCGGAGCGTGCCCCCCCCCCCCGCCCCGCCTCCCAGCCCCTCTCGGAGCCGGAAGGGGGCGGATGGCAGCCCCCCCCCCCCCATCGCACCGAGTCACCGCGCCTCTGTTGCTATGCAACGGGCGTCTGGCGGGCGGGGGTGCAGCTGCACGCACGAGGCGAGGCGTGGGTGCCGACGCCAAGCACAGCGCGGCTGCGGGCAGCCCCCTCCCCACGCCTCGGCGCTGGAGGTGACATTTAGTGTTGCAGAGGGGCCCGGTGAAGACATGCCTGCCTGCCTGCCTTTTTCCCCAGGAAACTGCTGTTGATGACTTTAGGACCTTGTGCCAGTGGGTGGAACCAAAGGGCACTATGGAGAGCCCTCCTTGGGAACAAACCACACCAGACACAGGGGCAGGGTTTATAAAATGGTCTTTTTTAATTAATTAAATACAAGAGAGAGGCAAGGGAGGGTGAGGGAGCCACACCACCCACAGACAGCTTTCTCCCCCCAGACACCCTGCAGAGGCCACCTCTAAGTGGCTGGAACCAGTTCCCTGTGATCCTCAGTTCCTGTCTTTCCAGCTTCCCCCCGACCCGGCTCCCCAGCCCCTGCACAGGAGCCAGGGATACCTGGAGGTTCTTCTTCCCTGGATGCTCAGACCACATCCTACCAACACCAACCCCCCACCCCACGCCCATCCCCACCCCTCAGGACAGGCACACCAGCCAGGCTGGGACCAAGCAAGACACATTCAAAGACAAAGAAATCAGGGCCCCAGCCCCCCACCCTCCATAGACTAAGGCATCTCACTAACGCTGCCAGAGAAGAGTTAGTGGGCAGAAAGATCAGGGAACCCTGAAGGACACCCCGGAAGAGAAGCCCAGGGCAGAGGCTGAACTGGGTGGACCCTCCGAGCCCAGCTCCAGAAGGGTATCCCCAGCCTCCCCCTGACCAGGACCCCAGGTGTCCATCCCTGGATCCAGCCTGGCTAGAGCTGGACCCAGGCAGAAAGGTGACACCATCCAAAGCCCCAATGGGAAATCAAAGTTCTGGGACAAATAGGAATGCCAAAAATCTCCTGTAGCCAAAAGGGGGTGTGGGGGGGGGGGGGGGGCGCGGCGGCTGTGCATTGTTTGACAGGACCTAGTTCTGTCTCAGACAGGGTGAAGGTCCTCAGGCCCAATGTCCAAAAGGAAACCCAAGCCACAGCAGGAAGACATGGGAGAGGACCCCACAGATTACCCACCCTCCCCTAGTTCAGATTGGAGACCCTCCCCCACACTCATACCCCCTGAGGATGACGGACCTCCCACCGGTCCAGAGGGAGAAACTGATGCCTGAAAAAATATTCTATCCGGTCCAAAAAAAACGAGCTGTCCAGGAGGCTGCATAGTCTCCTTACCAGTCCTGGGGTCCAGGTCCACCCCTTCCTGTTGCCACAAAAGCCTGGGAAGGACTGGGGCAGGATGGTACCTGCCAGCCCTCCAGGACCTTAGGGCTCACCTGCAGGGCTTTCAGTCTGGCCCAATACAATGGCCACCAGGGTCCTCTTCAAGATTGTCTATCACGCAGTACCACCAAGGCCAAATTCAGGAGCCCTACCCAGGTAGGAACTGAGAGGCTGGGTCATGATGCCAGCCACTCACAGTCTCACACAAACACATACCCAAAGATGGGAGCAAAGCCCCCAACCAGCAGAGAGGGAGGAAAATAAATAAACACTCCCCTGCCCCTAAAATGAGTGGAAATGCTCTTTGGAAGGACTTTTAATCCTCCAGTCCAAATCTCCCAGGTAGGGCCTAGAGCCCTCTGGAAACCCAACCAACCCATCCCATGCCTGGGTCCTGAATGCTGGGTGGTGCCTCCAAGGGGGCAGGCCTGTGGACACCTGAGATTGAGTACCCAAGTGGGGGGTGCCTAGGCTACACCCCCCATTTCCCTGAACATCTCCAATGGCTTTCAGTGGGGTAGGAGTGGGCAGGGGCCCATGGGAACCAGGGTTCATCTATGGCTCTGTGCATACTATGTCCCACCCTAGAGGGGTTAGTGGCGGGAGGGAAGGGACTGAGGACAAACAGTGGGTGGGGGAGATCCTCAGGCCCCATCCCCACTCCCGCTCCGAGGGGAAGACAGGATGAGAGAGTCCCCGGTGCCCACCTGGATCCCTGTAGAGGACTTGGGAAGAGTTAAGAATCATGGCTATTTACAGACAGCCCCAGACCACCTCCCAGGCTGGGTGGGACTTAGGTCCAGTCTCAGGACCCCCCCTACCCCTTTGCTTTCTTGAGGTTGGTGGAGGTGAGACTAGGGCTCCCCATTGGTTCCCACCATGGGCCCTGTGAGCAGACATGTTCTCCCATTGCTGGTGGTCCCTGCTGAAGCCTAGCAGGGGGGCCACACTCAAGGCAGGAAGACCAGGGCCCTACAGGCCTGCGGGAGCTGGGCTGGGCACCGGGCTGGGCACAGGACTGCTAGCTAGGCTGCAGGGCAGCGAGTCGCTGGGCGAGGTGCTGCGAGCCCCTGGGCGTCGGAGCAGTTCCGGGCGGAAACCAGGGTGTCGGCGGGCATGTTTGGTCAGGTGGTCACTTCGGGTGAACCGCTTGGTACACAGCGGGCAAGGAAAGCGCTTCTCTCCAGTGTGTGTCCGGTGGTGGCGGGCCAGCTCATCAGAGCGTGCAAACTTCTTGTCACAGCCTGGCCAGTCACAGGCAAATGGGCGTTCACCTGGACAGAAGACAGAAAGTGGTCAGCAGGGAGGGCAAGGGAATTCCCAATTGCTCAGTTTCCTGAGTCTTTCTAGGGCCCTTCCGAGGCTGGAGGGATCCCACAAGAACACCCAATTGACATGTTCCCTCTGTGTCCCAAGAACTTCACTGTGAGCTCTACTTCTTGCTGTACCTGGAGAACCTGGACTGCAGGGGTAAGCTTTGCTACCCTCACAGTGTTATCCATTCTCTGTTCTCACCCCTGTGAGGCATTATAGAGCACCCCGGGTGTCCAGAATCCCAACCTCCCTCCTCTTCCACATGACCATACAGGTGCATGGAGACCCTGGGGTGGGACTCCCTCCACAGACCCCTGAGGACCCCCTACAAGTGTCACAGCCCCTCCCCTGCAGCCACCTGCAGCTTTTCCAGGACCCATGTGTGTCAGCCCAGGCTCCATGCTTTCCAGGAGTAGAGAAGAGGAAAAGGTGTCAGGAAGCAGCCGCAGGTCACCAATGGGGGGGGGGGGGGGGGGAGGGAGGAGGAGAAGCAGGACCCGGAAGGAGGCATGGCTAAGCCACCCAGATCGCAGGGCTCTCCCGGCCTCCATCGAACAGATGGCGCAGGGCAGGGGCGGGTCGCCACCCAGGAACTTCCTCCGCAGACCCCTCCCACCGCGCCGGCCGCCCTCGGCCTCGCCCATCCTTTCCCGGACCAGCCGTCTGGTCGCCCCTGGTCGCCATCCCGGCGGGTGCGAGTATGTGTCTCTACGGTAGACAGGAGTCGATTGGAGGAGTGGTCGATCACACTCTCCGGACTCCCGTCCATTCAAGCCCCCAGACCAGTTCTGGCCTCCCTGGGAGCGACACACACCCAAAGGGCCGCATGCTTTGGAACCGTGGGCCGGGTACCCATGACCCTGGCTGGAATCCCCAGGCATTTGCTCTCGCAAGGTCCAGGGTTTTTAAAGGCTGGGGTGGGCACAGGGTTTGGACACTGGAGCAAAGGGGTCCACGCACACGTGCGTGCAAGATGCCCCTTGTGACTGCACGGAGCAGGAAGACAGCAAAGGACAGGAAACAGGTCACTGCTGCCCTCAAGGACTAGTCTCAGGGGAGCCAGAGCAGGAACAGAGTGGTTGTCGCCTCATGCAGGCTGTGGTGACCCTGAGAATTTTTGTTTGAGGTACACATACCCTGCAGAACTTGACAGAAGAGAGAGGGAGGGAGAGAGAGAGAAAGAGAAAGAAATCGAGAGCACGCGTGTGTGTGTGTGTGTGTGTGTGTGTGTGTGTGTGTGTGTGTGTGTGTGTGTGTGTGTTGCCTGTTTGGGCGTTTGAACTCGAGCGCTGTCCCTGAGCCTCTTTGTGCTCCAGACTAGCTAGCTCTCTTATCACTTGAGCCACAGCACTACTCCTGTTTTGGGGGTACTTAATTAGAGATAAGAATCTCGTGGACTTTCCTGCCTGAGCTGGCTTCAAACTATGATCCTCGGATCTCAGCCTCCGGAGTAGCTAGGATTGCAGGCGTGAGCTGAGAAGTGGGGCTCTCAACGAGGGCAAAAAAAAAAAGGGGGGGGGGGTGCACCAAAATAGAACCTTAAGTGTAGAGACTAGAAGGCAGAGACTATGGTTTAGAGTGGCGGGGGGGGGGGGGGGGGGGGGGGGAGGGGGTCGTCTCAGCTCTAAACAGCTCCCTCAAGGGCTCCCTAGGGAAAAGAGCTGAGGGAGGGGAGGGGAAGAGAGGGGGGTGGGGCCAGGGTGAGGACACCTGCCACCACCCTGCCGGGAAGAAGCCGGAAGAAAACCTCCCTTCCCCCACTCCATCTTCCTCCCCAGCTACACATGACACCCTAGTATAGGAAGGCGGGGAGTAGAGCTCAGAAAGCCCCTTCCAAGGTGGCATCTCCTGGGGATGCCTGTAGGCTACGCTCACACTTGAAGGACCCACAGTTTCTAGGAGGATAGGACCTCACGTAGCTGGGTAGAGAAGCTAGTGTGGCCTCCTCCAAACCCTGTGTCTCCCCTAAACAATCCAGGAGGACGTTTTATCAGCAGGTGGAGAAACGATCCCAGTAGGCCCATGCTGAACGAGTAAAAGAAGCCCCAGAAGGGACCTCCACCCTCATCCTTGACACAGATGATACAGAGGCTCAGCCTGGGGGGGGGGGGGGACTCATATGAGAGGGGACAAGTAGCTTTGAACCAGACCCCATGATTGGGGAGCAGTGCCCCTGGGGACATGCAGTCCTGTCATCATCTTGCAGGGTACACAGGGTGTCAGAAGAGAAAGGGACATCCCATAGGTAGGTCATTCCTCCCAGCATCTGGCTCACTTCTGGAACCCAGGGGCCAGTCCCCACCTCTCACCCCTCCAGGTCCTCTTTGCCAAGCACAGGCTGCTATGGAAGCCAAGTGATGCCAGCACCAGCCCACCTGGACAGAAGACAATCAGCCGCCGGGAACACAGCTGCTGCATGTAGCTCAGCAGTGGTGGTGGGGACATCTGCAGTCCCAGCCAGCCCTGCTCACATGGCCCTGCTGGGGCGGGGGCCAGCCCCTCACTCCCCACTCCTTGCTCAGTGGCTAGGGCCTGGGCACATGCACATGTGAGTGGTGGTACACCAGAGTGCAGCGTCCCACACCAGCAGGCTCGTGCCTGGCTTGACCAGTCTCTCAATCCACTTGCAGGGTTAACTGGGGGGGGGGGGGGGGGGGGGTGGTGCAGAGCTTCTTCAGGTGCAGCTTCCAGGTGAGGACAACTGCAGGCAGGCAATGTAGGTGGGGCCCTGGTGGACTTGATCCTCTGACTCAGGTGGGGCCAGGGCTGGGGCCAATCCAGGTCACCTAGGTGCTATATAGGCTCAGAAACATGGAGCTCCTTATCTTCTGCAAACTGGCTCCAGCCCCTCCCCCAGAGAGGAGCCTGCAGGTGGTACCTCAGGGGGCAAGCACCTGGGACCTAATCACCTGAGTCTGGGATTGGAATGAGGAGGGCACTGGAAGCATGGCTAAGAAACCTTCCCCACCTACAGCCAGACAGTGATGGTTCATGCCTGAAATCCTAGCTACTCAGGAGGCTGAGATCTGAGGATGGCAGTTCGAAGCCAACCCAGGCAGGAAAGTCTGAGAGACCATTATCCCCAATTAACTACCCTAGAAACTAGAAGTGGAACTAGAGTGGAGTGCTAGCCTTGAACAAAAAAAGCTCAGGGAGCTGGGTGCCGGTGGCTCACGCCTGTAATCCTAGCTACTGAGGAGGCTGAGATCTGAGGATCGCAGTTCAAAGCCATCCCAGGCAGGAAAGTCTTTGGGACTCTCATCTCCAATTAACCACCAGAAAACCAGAAATGGCACTGTGGCTCAAGTGGTAGAGCTCTAGCCTTGAGCTGAAGAGCTTAGGGACAGTGTCCAGGCCTACAGTTCAAGCTCCACGACTGACAAAAAAGAAAAAAAAAGAAAGAAAAAGAAGAAGAAGGGCTGGGAAGGTGGCTCAGTGGTAGAGCGCTTGCCTTGCATGCATGAGGCCCTGGGTTCAATTCCTCAGCACCACATAAGCAGAAAAAGCCAGAAGTGGCACTGTGGCTCAAGTGGTAGAGTGCTCGCCTTGAGCTGAAGAGCTCAGGGGCAGTGCCCAGGCTCAGAGTTCAAGCCCAGAACTGGCAAAAAAAAAAAAAAAAGAGCTCAGGAACAATGCCCAGGCCCTGAATTCAAGCCCCAGGACCTGGCACACACACATAATAAAGAAAAAAAGAAACCTCCCCCAGGCTTGGTACAGGTGGCTCACTGGAAGCCAGCTGGGGCAAAGTCTATGAAGCTCATCTCCAATTGACCATCAAAAAGCTGGAAGTTCGGGCTGAGAAGTTGGCTCGGTGGTAGAGTGCTTGCCTCGCATGCATGAGGCCCTGGGTTCAATTCTCAGGACCACATAAGCAGAAAAATGCCAGAAGTGGTGCTGTGGCTTAAGTGGTAGAGTGCTAGCCTTGAGCTGAAGAGCGGAGAGACAGCACCCAGGCCTAGAGTTCAAGCCCCACGACCGTCAAAAAAAAAAAAAAAAAAAAAAAGCTGGAAGTTAGGCTGGGAAGGTTCAATTCCTCAGTACCATATAGACAGAAAAACCCAGAAGTGTTGCTGTAGCTCAAGTGGTAGAGCAATAGCTTTGAGCTGAACTGCTGAGGGACAGCACCCAGGCCCAGACTTCAAGCCCCATGACTGACAAAAAAAAAAGCTGGAAGTGGAGCTGTGGCTCAAGCAGTAGAGTACTAGCCTTGAGCACAAAAGCTCAGGAATGGCACCTAGGCCAAGTTCAAGCTCCAGGTCCAATTACAAACAGTAAAGAAGAGAAAAGAAACAAGACCAAACTTCCCCAAGGTTGGGTTGCAGCTGAGAGAAGTGGGTAAAAGAACCCTCACCCATCCAGGGGAGTGACAGGGGGATCCTGGAAGTGGTTCAGTAAACAAGAAAACTGGTAAGTATGGTCAAGGGAATGACCTTACAAAGACCAGCCTATGGGTATCACTTGGTCTGGAACTCCAACTGGTCTCTGGCCATCTCCACACCCAGTGCACCCTGACCTATAAACACCAGACTTCCTCTTTACAATCATTTCACTGTTCCCACCAAAAAATTGTAGGCAGGCACATTCTTGAGTAGACTCAAATCCTTACCTCCACATGCCACTTAACTGCTAATACTATCACCTTCAGAAACCTTCTGGCAACTCCAGGCTCCAGCCTGCACCTGGACTAGTGCAAGAGGCCAACAACCTGGACCTAGGTATCCAATCTATACATTGCATCTAGAGCTCCACTCTAGTTTGGGGTCAAAGTTAAAACTAGATTTCTGGTTACTCCTTCTCTCTGCTCAGCATCATCTTTAGACCACCTGTTTCCTCTAAATCCACTGGTGACCCTGACCTCTTGTGCCCTGTTTGCATCTCTGGATGTGATGTCTGGCCCCTAAGGCCAGCTATGAACAGAGCAGGAGCTGAGCTCCCAGCTAGAGAGGTGCTTAATGTGTATCCATATAGACAATTTCCAGGCCTGGCCTAGCCAGAGCTAACACACTCATCATCATCTGGACCCCTGCTCACTCTGAAATGGGAGGGGTTACTTCTCCATTTCAGTAAGGGTCAGGCTGCCTGGTCACTCTCCATCTTCCTATCAGCACTTGAGGGCTAAGAGGTACACTTTCAAACTTCCCAAGGATTATGCAGGTTCTACAAACAGCCCAGTGACCCACCCAGCCCAGGCTGCCTTCCCCAGGAGACCAACTCCTTAGCTAGTATCATTCACCAACTCCTGGCCCATCTGGATCACTTTTATCAGGCAGCCTGGGTGGGGGATATTTATCACCAGGGCAATATTGGAGAGTTCTCCCCTCCTACCAGCCGGAGTTTGTAGTTCAAACTGTTATGCCTTGGAAAAGGCTGGGGGGGGGGGGGGGGAGTCCCTGGGCACCCACTAGAGGTGAAAAACCACTACATCAGGCCTAGTACTACCCACTCCAGCAATTCCAGTCTGACCCTAGGGAGACAGAACCTCTTCCTGGATGATGATAGGAGCTGCCTCACCCTGACTCCTTTTCAGCAGTTATAACCACCACCCTGCCCTGTCCCTCAGGCTAGTTCATATCAAAACTGGGGCCAGGACAAATTTTTCTGCACCCCATGCCCTAAACACTCACCTCACATCACCACAGTTGGTAAAATGGCCCACTTCCCTCCCTCCCTCCTAAACTATACTCTGCCCTCTCATCCTAATCCCTTCTCCATAAACGGATTTACCTCCCTGCAAAGCCCCCACCCTTGGGATTAAACACAGGCCTTCAGCCTGGCTGCTTTGCCTCTCCCTTCAATACCTGCTGGTACCTCCACAGGGGAATACCATGCCCTGGCTGGCTTCAAGTCAGCCCGAGGGGCCTCAGCCTGAACAATGCTGTCACCAGTCACCCTCCCTTCCCCCATTCCAAGAGTCCTGGGGACAGGACAAGGACTCGTTCTGTCCCCCACAGGACACTACTCAACCCTGGCACACAGCAAGTGTTGTTTCTCAGATTAAGTAAACAAGATTTTCAGAGAATAATGTAGCTAGGGGTGATCTTGCAAACTGCCATGAGACACTGGACGATGTTTGTGGCTGTTACCACCTCAGGGTGTTCCTGAGGAATGGAGACCAGAGAGTTAGTTGCTCAGCACCCTGCGGTGCCCCACCAGAGAACTCAACCCCAAAGGGTCAATGTCAAGAGGAGAGACCCTTCCATCAACAGACCCTTTCTGGGTCTGAGCTGCACGGGGAGTGAGTGGAGTTCAAGACAGCCAAGGGTACATGCCTGAATGCATTGGGCACTTTGAGGGCCAGGGAGCCTGCTAGGGACGGAGGAGGTTGAGAGAGCAGTAGACAGCCAGCCTCTCCTACTGTTCCCGCCCCTGTCCCATTGCTGGCTCTCTTCCAGTATCCACGGCAACGGCGTCAACATCTCCCACAGCCTCTAAAGTCCTTCCCTTCCCACTCAGGGGTACTCAGCAGGGCTAGGGGCCATAGGCTAGGCTCTACCCAACTGTCTACATGCTCTATCCCAGAAGGGGGAACCTTATACGTCTTCCAGCCCCCCTCTTCACCTCAGCCTCCTGCTTGTGACAAGGTATACTCCTCTGCCCTAGGGAGCTGAGCCTGACTGCTGCTTCTCTAACACAAAAAAAAAGTTCTCAGAGTGGATGGCTGGGTGGGGTGGGGGTCTCTTCCAAAGGTCCTAGGGGATGGTTCTGCAAACAGCTCTTCCAAGGCCTTCAGTCACCAGCTGGTGAACCCAGCTGGCCTTAGAACCCCCAGAACAAACGTGGCTTTCCTGGATTCCAAAATGGAATGGTCTCCCTGGGAAAGAGAGACCCTGATTAAAAGCCATCCAGCATTCAAGTGTCCCCAATGCCTACGAGAAATAAAATTGAAGTAGCTAGGGATGTGGTTTAGTGGTAGAGTGTTTCCCTAGCATGCATAAAGCCCTGGGTTCCATGCCTCAGTAGCACAGAAAAGGCCGGAACTGGTGCTGTGGGCTCAAGTGGTAGTCGTAGCCTTCTCTTAGAAGCTCAGGGACACAACCTAGGCCATGAGTTCATGTACTAGGACTGACAAAAAAAAAAAAAAAAAAAGAAATTAAATTAAAGGTGCCAGGGTCCAGTATTGCTCTCCTAGTCCCCAAGTGGTTATAATTTTAAGGAAGCTTTCTGGATAGAGTGCCAAGGCTCTTATGGGGTGAGAACTGGGACATAGCATCTATGTAGAAATAACACCCTGCCCACCGTGCAGAAGACACTTGGTGTTGCTTTTAATCATCTTCACCCAGCCCTAAACACCACTTCATCCTCCACCAGCCAGTTTCCCATCACTACACAGTGGCAATGCTGCTGACAATCCCAAGATTCAGCCAGATTCTTCCCTTCCCCCACTAGCTTTGGAGCACTGTGGCCATCATCTGAGAGGACAGGGAAGCTTCTTTAATATTTCCAAAACGGGGGGGGGGGGGGGGGGGGGGGGGGGGCGGGGGGGGGGCTGGGGGCTGGCTCAGTGGTAGAGCGCTTGCCTTGCATGCCTGAGGCCCAGGGCTCGATTCCTCAGCACCACATAAGCAAAAAGAAAAAAGCCGGAAGTGGTGCTGTGGCTCAAGTGGTAGAGCGCTAGCCTTGAGCTGAAGAGCTGAGGGACAGCACCCAGGCCCAGAGTTCAGGCCCCACGACCGGACCCCAAAAAACAAAAAACAACAAATATTTCCAAAACGGCAGGAGTTAGCCTGGCTTCCCCTTCATCCAACCCAGGATGTAAATAAAAAGAAAAATGTGTGTGTCTGTGCGTATGTACACACACACACATCAAACCAGGACCCTGGAAATGGAGTGGATACTCTGACCATCAGCAAACTACATTCTCTACACCCAGCAGGTTAAGAGAAGACAGAAGCAAATGAGAAAGTCAGGAGTCACTTCACTCTCTTGCTGATCAGACTGGCAAAACTCAAAGGAAACAAGCCAAGGCACTCCTGTACCCCAACCAGCCACCTTTTTCCCTTTTGTTCCCCCAAAACATCTCTCCTGTGGAGATAGATAAGTTTGTACTCAAAACCTCAGCAGAGTGGTGCCTCCTGGAAATGCACCCCCAGCCCAACATATGCCCTGTCAAACTGGTCTCTAACATGGCAGAGCCTGCAAGGCCCAATAGAAGGAGGATTTGTGGACTGTAGCAAACAGACCCCTTCCGTGCTCAACGGACCTCTCCAGCCAGAGTCCAACTGGAGGTGGAGGCCCTGTAGGGTGCCTTGGGTGGCCCCCAGAGCTGAGCTGGACCAAGTCCGTCTGAGCGATCCCCACCACGACCCCAAGGAGGCAATCCTACTCCCTTTATAGAAAAGAGAATAGAAACCTTAAACTGGTAAGTCACCTGCTAGAAGATGGCCGAGCCATGATGCCCCTTCCAACCCAGAACCAGCTCCAAAGCCTGAGACCAGACAGCCACACATGCTCCTCTCCCCGGCACTTGCCAGAATGGGTGAACTCTCCTAAAGACGGACCCAGGCTGGTCGGGGAGGCTCACCTTCCCATTGCCCATCCAATCTTCCAGCCAGGAGGGAAAAACTCACACGGGAGGCGGGGGCAAGGAGAGGAGCTGAGAAGGCAAAGTTGATCGGCGCGCATTAGGCGCGGGGTGCCCGGAGCCACCCTGGACTGGGAGAAACTCTGGAATGGCTGAGTCGCTCCTCCTTAGACCTTGTGGACCTTCGCAGACCCCTCACCAGATGTGTGGGGGCGAGCAAACACCCTAGAGAAACTTGGGGCAAATGCCCTTTTCTTCAATACTACTCCACTCCAGACTCAGGCCCCAACCCGCGGTCCTAACCGCGGCCTCCACCTAGCTGAAACGCACCGAACGGAAAGTAAACGTGCCCGGCACCCCCTACCCAGGCCCGGCGCCAACCTGCCCTGGGGGGCGGGGGGGGGGGAGTTCGTGAAGACCCTCCCCCTCCCTCTTCAGATAAGGAAACAGGCTGGGGGATGGGGATGGCCGAGAGGAACCACAGAGCCGGATGCTCGGACCACCATGCCCACCAGCCAGACCAAAACGAAAAACATAGAAACACGAAGCAAACCCCCAAGAACGCCACAGTGCCCACAGGAGCCCACCGCGCCCAGCGCCCGGATCGGCCCTGAGCCCAGGTCTCGCCCCCCCCCCCCCCCCCCCCCCCCCGCGCCTCGCCGCCGGACCGCGTGGCCGCCACGCCCCCCCAGCTCGCCCCACCCACCGAAGCCCCGCCTTCCCGGCCGGCGCGGCGGCAGCCCGGGCGCGCCCCCCTCCCCGCCTCCCACGCGCCACGCAGTTTCGGGGTCCCAGCGGGGGAGGGGATGCAAGAGGTCGACCCCGCGATGTACAGGACCATGGCCTGGCTCACCTGTGTGCGTCCGCAGGTGCGACTTTAGGTGCGAAGACTTATAGTAGGCTTTGGCGCAGCCTGGGAAAGGACAGCGGTGGCTCTTGGCGGCGGCGGCAGCAGGCGCGGCGCCGGGGGCGCGGCCCGAGGACGGGGACGAGGCGACCGAGGAAGACGAGGCGGGCGAGGCGCCCCCCGGGGCGGCACCGGGCCCACCGCGCAGGTCGGCCAGGATACTGGCGGCCAGCAGGTGGGGCGCAGCAGCCCCCGTACCAGAGACGGCGGGGGGCGGCGGCGGCGGCGCCCCTGGGGTCCCGGGCGGGGCGGCCTCACGGCGCGCGGAGCGGACATCCAGGCCAGCAGTGGGGCCCGCGCCCTCGGGACCGGGCCGCCCGCGGTGCACCACAGCACCAGAGGAGATGGCCATGAGCACGTCGGCAGCAAAGTAATCCACGCACGCCACGGCTGCCGACATGCCGGGCAAGGGCGCGGGGCTCCGGCGCAGCGGGCGGAACGGAGGCGGTGGGAGCGGCACCCGTCCGGCCGGCAGTGGCTGCTCGAGTGCTGGAGGAGGAGGAGGAGGAGGAGGCGGCCGGGCGCGCGCCGCCGCCACCGCCCGCGCTTGGCCCGCCCCGCCCCGCCTGACGCGCCTTGACGCACCGGAGCCCGCGGGGGTGGCCAAGGCCCGCCCCACCCGGAGGACGCCCCCTCGGGGCGCCGCGGCCACGCCTCCAGCCGGGCGCGCCCTTCACCACCCTAGGAGCAGCGGGCGGCCGCCGGGGGCGGAGCTCAGGCCCTAGGAGTCCGCCTCCCCTCGGCGCACGCCACTCCTGCGTTGGAGAGGGCTCTTGGTCTCTCGCCCCGAGCGCGCCCTTTCTACGCTAAAATGGGAGCCCGCCCCATTTCGATGCGCGGCCCCGTGCCCCTCCTGGAGCACCCCCTTCCCAAGCCGGGGCACGAGGCGGGCGAGGCTGGCCGGGACTCAGGCACGCCCCCTCTTCCCCAGCGCGCCCCGCCTCCTCCGGGGCGCCCCTCCTCCCATGGCGCCCCACGCCTCCTCCCCGCGCGTGCCCCGCCCCTTGCAGGCGCGCCCACCCCACGCCCGGGCGCGCGGCCGGCGGGAGCCTGTCCCCTCCCCCGAACGCTTCCATCTCGGTCCCGGGCGCGCTCCCGTTCGCGTTGGGCGGGGAGGGGGGGAGGGAGAAGGCAGGGATCCGCACGTGGCCGGGGTGGGGGTGCGGAAGCGGCTGGCCCCGCCCCCAGGCCACGTGCGCGACCCTTACCTCCCTCCCTCCCCCCCTCAGCTAGGGGCCCTGAATTTACCGCGTAGCTTGGCACCCTGCTGCCCACTTCTGAAAGCTCAAGACTCCCCCATTTCGGAACTCGGCGGAACCCGTGATAGCGGGAAGCCCCTCCCGACTGACCTTACTGCGCCCGGTTACTAGAGTGCTGCCTGCAAGTCTGGAAATGGACGGGGTGGGCGAGGCTGAAAAGGAAGGGCCCAGCCCCGGGTACCTCAACTAGCTAGAGGATCCTCGCCCTGCCGGGACGCGGTATTCCTAGACCTTGCTTCCCTGCTTCAGGACTGGACCCTTCGGACCGGAACGGAGAAATTTGAGTCTAGCTGGTGAGACTTATGGGTGCCTCCAAGGACCACAGAGCCAAATTGTGAAATAGCAGTGTGGAGGCTGGGGACACAGATGGCTGGGGTGCCTCAAACTCGCAGGCCCCAAGCAGCGGGCCCATGGAAGTGGGAGACCAGGCTCCCGCCCCTTCCTAGCTCCCGCCGGGCAAAGAAGGCAGTGCAGTGGCCGGCGCTGCCTCCAGGGGCGGAACGCTTAGGCAGGAGGGGCCGGAACGACAGTCTGTCTCAAGCAGGGGATGGACACTGGCCTTGGCACTATCCTCTAATCTCTCTTTAGGCACCTATAGGTAATTGTCCCAAGTTCCCCTCTCCTCTAGTCCCCAGAGCACTGGATGGTGCCACCTCTTCCTCTGATAGACTGAACCCTCAGGTCCCCAGCAACTCCTAGTATACATAAATCAGTGGACAGAGGCTGGGAAGGTGGCTCAGTGGTAGAGTGCTTGCCTTGCATGCACGAGGCTCTGGGTTCGATTCCTGAGCACCACATCAACAGAAAAAGCCGCAAGTAGTGCTGTGGCTCAAGTGGTAGAGTGCTAGCTAGCCTTGAGCTGAAGAGCTGAGGGACAGCGCCTAGGCTTAGCCTTGAGCTGAAGAGCTGAGGGACAGCGCCTAGGCCCAGAGATCAGGACCCACAACTGACAATAAATAAATAATGCCGGAGGGCTGGGAATATGGCTGGTTGTGGCTTGCATGAAGTTCCTCAGTACCACATAAACAGAAAAAGCTAGCAATTGTGCTATGGCTCAAGTGGTAGAGTGCTAGCCTTGTGCAAAGAAGCTCAAAGACAGTGCCCAGGCCCTGAGTTCAAGGCCCACAACCAGCACAAAAAATGTGCCAGAAGTGGAGCTGTGGTTCAAGTGGTAAAGAGCTAGCATTGGGTAAAATAGCTCAAAAACCCTGAGTTCAAAGAGCCTAAGCCCCACAACTGGGCTTATGCTCCAAATGGAACTTTTCTGGCCTGTGGCCAGTATGTGTTCTCCGGTGTCATTCACGTTAATTGACCTTGTCACCTTGTCAGCCTTTTGCCTGACCTTTCCATAAGTTTCTTTTAACAGGATAATAGCCCCACCCAGGACACCACCTAGGAACAAGTCAAGGCCAGCTTGTTACTACAAGCAACAAGACTTCACTTACACTGCCCTGCCTTGCCCAGCGCAGACCTGGACCCTAAAGACCCCAGCTCTAGTGACTCCTCGATGCCTCCAGGCGTGCAGGAAGTAGCCAAAAGAGCCCATGACACCCATTGGCTCTTGTACCTTTAAACATCTCTGCTACCTCCTCAGGCTCCTGTGATCCTAAAGCTGGAAAAGTCTTACCCTCCCCTCCAGAGTACAGAGAGTCAGGTACCATACCATGCTATGTCTGCAATCCAAGACTAAAAATGAAATCTCAGGTCTTTGATAGCCCCTTCTGGGAATCAATAGCTCCCTGGCTTATTTCTCTCTTGGGCCTGCTAGCAACAATTTTTGCCTTTTCTAATTGTGCCTTGCATTTTAAATAACTTGTTATGGAAAAGATGAGAATCTTTACCAACCAAACTGTCAAGCAAAAAGCTTCTTGTACAGTACCCAGCCAAGCAACAAATCAGGGATCCCTGACTATGCCCCTTTACAGCAGGAAGTAGCTCCAAAAGAAACCCCTAGTTGTTATTATTATTAAACAAAGCTGGGAATGTTAGCATTATCCCCACCTCTGGTCCTCAGCTCCACCCAGACCTGAGCTCTTCACTGCCCTAGAGTTCCCAGGATACAGCTGGCCACTCCCTTTCTTCACCCAGACCTACCTGTGCATGGCATCTATCCCACTACCAGCCCCAAACCTACCTGCCATCTGGATAGGAGCAGACACCAAGTGCTCCTTCTCCTAGGGGAGATATGGCTCCTCTAATAAACCTTATAATAATCTTTAAAAAAAAAAAAGCTAGGCCCTGCATTCAAGCCCCAAGACCAACGCGCCTGAGCGCGCACACGCACGCACACAACACACACACACACACATACACAAAGTATTGAGGATGGCATGGGATGTCATGGTCTCAGGTCCCTCTGATAAGATGTAAAACAGAAAGATAGGAACTGTATTCATTACTCATGTAACTGTAACCCCTCTGTACAGTATCTTTACAATAAAAATATATATTAAAAAATATGTAGGGCTGGGAAGGCGGCTTAGTGTAGAGTGCTTGCCTTGCATGCATGAGGTCCTGGGTTCGGTTCTTCAGACCACATAAACAGAAAAAGCCAGAAGTGGCACTGTGGCTCAAGTGGTAGAGCGCTATCCTTGAGCTGAAGAGCTGAGGGACAGCCCCAGGCTCAGAGTTCAGACATTATGACCAACAAAAAGAAAAAAAAGTAAAGAGTGCTAGGGCTGACCAGGCGCCGGTGGCTCAGGCCTGTAATCCTAGCTATTCAGGAAGCTGAGATCTGAGGATCGTGGTTCAAAGCCAGCCTGGACAGGAAAGCCCATGAGACTATCTCCAATAAACCACCAGAAAACCAGAGGTGGTGTTGTGGCTCAAGTGGTAGAGTACTAGCCTTGAGCTGAAGAGCTGAAAGACAGCACCTAGGCCCAGAGTTCAAGATCCAAAAAAAAAGTGCTAGGGCTGTTCTTTTCCAAGCTATCACATCTGACCATGAGAAGACAACCTGGGTTAGTGCACCGTTCATCAAACACTGGCCAGCCTCAAGGTGGCCAAGGTCAGGAGAGAACAAGAAAGTATGATAAAGTCTCAAAAAGGACCAGGTTTTAACAGAGGCAAGCAAATCTGAAGACCATGTGCCATGTGGGTCATGGATGGGGGTAGGAGGGGCCTAGGGTGGAAAAGGGCACCAATATCCCTGTTCTGTGGTAGGAAGAAAACCTACCAAACTGGAGTAGCCAGGGCATGCAGTTCACAGGTGTACCAGGCTGAGGTGTAGCTGCTGAATGGCCTTAGATAACTCCTACATGTGCAGCTTCTCTGTAAACCTCAATTTATACCAATTAAAAAACAAAGTTGATTTCGGGAGCCAGGCGGGCAGGAGAGGCACAAAAAAAAAGTTAAAGCATGAAAAGTGAGTGTGAGGTGGGGCCTTTTAATAACAAGAGTTACATGAGCAGCACTGGTCCACAGTACACTGGGAGGCTTTACAAGCTTCCAGTCCAGCTTCTCAGAGCCCTCCCACTCTGCTTTCTGAAGTTCAGGGGTGGCCAGATCCTGGTCACCTATGCCTGTAATCCTAGCTACTCTGGAGGCTTAGATCTGAGGATCAAGGTTAAAGTTAGCTTGAGCAGGAAATCTATGAGACTCATCTCCAGTGAACTACTCAAAAAAGCCAGAAGTGGAGTTGTGCCTCTGAGTTCAGGCCCCAGTAACAGCACACACAACACACACACACACACTTGCCAGGATAAGGCTGCAGACTGCTTTTTGTAATAGAAAAAAAAAAAGAAAAGAAAACCCAGGTGTCACTTATTAATGGATGAAGGCAGTAGCTCAGTTGCAAAGAACTGCCCGTGCTGGTAGACAGACTTCAGATTTTTAGCAAGAAATAACGTTTCCATCACATGGTCCACCTGCTCTGCAGTCTCTCTTCACCTGTCTCCATGGGCAGTTAACTCTGAACAGCCATCTACCTAGAGGGTACCCTACAAAGGAATACCTAACTCCACCCCATCCAGCAACCCTAGATTCCAGGGCCCAATTAACTTTCTCTGTTGTTCCCTACCCCTCAACACATATGGCCATCCAATAGATGTATTGTTTTGGTGATGAGTTTCTTAGTTAAAGAGGGACACTGTGTATTATGTAACTAGTATCTTATCCCTAAATGGTAGTACTATGCTAAGTACTTACATTACATTCTGTGGTCTGCATGTGGTCCCATGCAGAGGAGAGCAAGCAGCTGGGATCAGGAATGGACAAAGGACACAGGCTCAGCCAGGTGGGAGGCTTGTCATCCCCCTTTGGG